TGGCAATACCTCGACCACGATAGAATACAGCAGTGTCTTCTATCGTGGTCGATGTATTGCTCTATTAAAGTCGAAGCAATTCCGCGTTTCTTCTAATCAATGTGTGCTGACCGTATATGGAAATGATGGGAAGAAGTAGTACGGAGATGAGAACGCACAGATAGTGGTTGTAATCCTTACCTGTGAATCACTGTTTGCTCGTTTGTTATATATTTAAAAAAACATATTACAAGTAACAAAAGCGCACACACCTTTGACTAAACTATCGCACAACTGTTGAGTAGTTTCTTTGAGGTTATATCAATGTTCGTACATTACTCGATTTTTAGTTGTGCAACTAAACAGTTGAATTGGCTGCGAAACAATCGACAATCGCATAACAGTGTGATCGTGAGGCAAAGGCAAAAAAACCGCGATGTTCTTGTTTATTCCGTTTGTAAACATTTATGTCCTATTTATGGAAACATTTTATTATTCTGCTGATTATATTAATCTAAGAGTCCTCAATGATAGCTTGCATACGTCACTGCGAAATGAGGATAATTCGAGCATTACATTTATTATCTGTGCCTACTTTTTTATCTGATCAATATAAATTATTACTAACTCATGTGATTATCATATTGTATCGTCCCTTCTTCGGTTTATCATGTTCATATCGAAGTTAATATTTTCCTTGTATCTCTAATTTTTAAACATTTGTAAACATTTTGCGATGAATTTAAGAACTATTCTGAAGTTGACACGTCAAATAATTTAGTTTAAATTTATTTTTGGTTTACATTTTAGTTGGTTTGGTTTAATTATTAAATAAAGGTTTAATTATAAAATGAGATCTGAAGTTATTGATGAAAGTGCGTTATCTAGTAGCGAGGAAGACTTAATCGATGACGTAATAAGTGAATCTCTAAGTGATGTTGTTGTTTACTTGTTTTACGGTTGCATCGCAATGCTGCTCGTAGTATTTAGTATTACAACTTTAAGAATGTTAATATTAGGTAAGTTTTTATCCCTATTGGAAATTGGATTAAAATTCACAATGTTCATTTCTCGACGTTAAATTTAATCGTGTCTTTTGCGTTTATTCATTTGATTGTAAATGAATAAATGCAGTGCCCCTTTCCACCCTTTTCTTAAGAGGAAAGGATTGGAAGGAAAAGTTGATTTGACGGTGGAGGATCCGCATAGGATGGGGAAATGTCTTTATCTCTCCTCCTCCGTCAGTCAAGGGTAGGCAATGCATTTGCAATTGCGGATGTTTATGGGCAGCGGTCGCTTTCCATTTCGGTGGATTTAAATTCTTATATTATAAAAAAATCACAATTTTCACTTCTCTACGTTAAATTTAATCATGTCTTTTGCGTTTATTCCATTGTAATTTTCTTAAAAAAGGTTACAGATTTCTTATTCTTTCAATATTAATATAAATTGCATGTATTTTGATAAACAAACTAAAAAATAGTGTGTATTTATTTGCACCATAGTTGGAGAGGAAAATCTATCCTCGCAGAAAACAGTTCGCTTACTTTGTTTTTCTTTTCTAAAAGGCCTAACTTATTAACAGCCCATAGATTTTAAATTCTTTGATTTTGTATAGGATTGCAAACGAGCGAGGTTATTTGTCAAAATAGTGAAGTAAGCGCTACTCATAGACATCCGTTAGATGCGTTGTCTCCCTCTAGTATAAAGAGGAGAAAGAGAGGAAATTTCCTCTACCTATCTGTTCATCATCCACTTGCCCTTATCCCTTACGAAGGGTCGGCACAATATGTGCTGCTCTTCCATACAACTCTATCAGCCGTCATATCTTATCCACTCCTTTCTCAAGCATATCTTCTTTAACAAAATCCATCCATACTTTCTTCGGTCTTTCTCTACCAATCTGTTAAAACTCTACAAAATTTACTTGTACTAAATGTAGGCCTTCGCAAGCACACATATCGGACGAAACGTGGAATTGCACTTCACACCCGTCTTCAATATTGTTAAATAACGCTGTTCAATATTAGATTTGATAAATCCGTACACGCCTTATGTGCCTCTCGAGTGTAAATCGTAACGTTGAATTATCAATTTGAGTCAGTAAGGTGATCGAGAAGTTATGGTTCGATATAGGTTATTTGTGTTTTGTTTTCTTATTGACATGAAAACCCAAACCCAGATAAATTGATTAACGTGATAACAGACTAGTTTCGGAAATTAATTCCAAATCCAGGTCATCAGGATTTAATGTAGATTATAATTATGATTTTTTTTATACTTTTAATTAGTAATTAGTATGACAAGACTTTAAGATAAACTTTAATTAGTTATGAGAGTGTTTTAAAGTTTTATGTTTTGTAAATATGATGCTTTGAAGATTAATAGTTCACATTATTGCCAACTGCTATATACCAGTGGGCAGATGATGATACGATCCTTGTATGTCTATATGGTTATCGGTGGTCAAATTTGACGTATATTTTTGTTAACACGTTACACATTTAGTCTTACTATTGGTGACAGCAAATAAACGATTCTTTGTTATTTATTTTCAGGTCAGAAAACACGCAATCCTCAACAGAGGCGGCAATACCTGGGATCACGGTCACGGACCTCGCTACCACAGCCAGACCCCACAGTCTACGTGAGCCCCGCCAATTTACCTCCACCTCCGAAATATGGTATGTTTTATGAATTTGAAAATGGAACAAAAATTAAAAGCGCACCTTTGGCGAAACTAACGCACAACTGTTGTGCGATTGTCGATTGTTTCGCAGCCAATTCAACTGTTTAGTTGCATAACTAAAAAAGTAGTGTCCACACTATATAAGCTGATAGGAATCAAAGCACAACTAAACAGTTCTGTAACAGTTTATTCAAAGGTGTGCGCGTTCTTAATGTCAACTTAAAAATCACTCGTCTATGGAATTCTAAACCAAAATGCCGCACATTGGGCTGAATCAAGTTGCTCC